CATTCAAGGTTTTCTGTTTGGTCATTAGGCCTTGATGATCACAGCCTGACATTGGCCTTTAGATAACTTTGATTTAGAACCGGTATTGCGTATAGACGCTAACACACACACACACACACACACACACACATACATACACGCACACACTCGAGCAAAAGTAGCAGGACTAGTATGAAAGATAATTAGCCAAACCATTTTATTTTGATTAATCTTGGTTTTTAATTTTATTTCGGCTTTATTGAGTCTGTAGAAGACGAAGATAGAGCCTGATAGTATTCTTGACCTTGTGTTGTCAACCTGGGACTTTTACAGGAATGAGACCCAGCTCTGGTGATGTCCATCGAATGATGGACGAAAGCTCAGTCAGTTCTTACCCGAAATGAGGGACTCCGTCAACCTGAACGTCGTGTAAAACCCAAACAGTTGAAGTACATCCGGATTCATCCGCCCTCTTCTGGTGAGATCGGCCAACGAATCTCTTTTTCATGCACTTTCATACGAAATGAAAGTCCCCCCAACAATGTTATTTCAGGATATTCATCAAAACCCAGTTTCTCGTCGTCCCTATATTTCTTTCTATAAATTCTCTGGGGTACTCATTACTAAGGCAAATCCGAATCTGTTTCTCCAACTCATTGTTCTAGAACTCTGTTTGCGTTAGTCTTCTGATTCTCATGATCATATTCTTCATTATTCTGATCTTCCTTCTGTACTTGTGATGAGACTACAAATTTAGGATTATTCCAGCATCTGATTTCTTTTTGAATTGTCTCCTGCTTCACGGTTCGACTCCCGCTGGGGGTGTTGATAAAACTGATGCGAGGTCGAAACTGCAGCCCACGCTGTATGATAACAACTTTTAGAAAGACAAGGCTATGTGAAATTCATTGGAAACGTGGGCATTGTAGAAAAATTCTACTACCAGTCCTTCAGCGCATTAAACGAAATTGGGTGAAAACAACTATTATTTCTGATTTAGTGGTAGTCTCGAAATTCTACTCACGACAAAATAAGTAATGCAGTCGATTGCTATGGTAAAGACAACTTTGCTCAATCGATAAGCCCATCACAAAATGTGAAATGATAAATTGCCTAAACTTCTTGTAAATGCACATCTGCTCTGTGATCCAAGGGCTCTCGTGGCAATTTGGCGTATTAGTTAACGCGTCGAGATTATAATCTGCACTGCCGCGGTTCGAATCCGGCTAGGGGTGCTGAGGAGTCCAGTTGTGGCAAGGTTGAAAGTGAGAATATGTTCAGGGATGGCAGGCCTATCTGAACCTCACTCGAAACGAGATAACCCAGTCAGTTGAAGTGAAAAATAAACGGATCATCGTAAAGACGAGAGAGATTCGAATAGGAGTTTACTAAGTTAACTGTTCGTTTATGAGTAGCATTTTGAGGTGTATTCACGCCATTTACTGTACGATGAAAAGTTGAATTTCCCCTAACCCTATTTTCGCAAGGTTATTCTATTTCCGGCTTGACTGGACTTCAGTTTGACCATTGTCTCGGTCTCGTCAGTATCCCAAGCGGGACTTGAAGCATGAGATTGCAGCGTTAACTATACGGCCACATTGCTACGAGTGCTCTTGCGTAAAAAGAGGGCAGATGCGATATTGAATGGAAACATAACATCTACACATTTGCTCACACGAAATAGGGTGAATACATTACAAATAGTGCGACTCTCTTGCGTCCGTCTCTGGCATACTCGTAGCACTATTTGCCCAACAAACTTGACTCCATCTAAAATGGTTTGAAGAAAAAATTGGCCGGAAGCAATTGATGAATTGTTTGCATCTGAGGCCGAAGAAGAACTCCAATGTGGATGGGTAAAACCAATTCACTAATTCCGATCAGCCGAATTTTCCATCGAAATGTCGAGTCGAATAGCACCAACCCATTTCGGGAGTCTTCGAAATCTGTTTTTTGTTTTGGCATAATTGCCCAACTATGCCCACAGCCAAGCCTGCCGCCTGTCTCGAGGGTGTGGGACTCCGGCCAGTGGGACAGAGTGTATGCGACGTTGACATTTGTGCAGTCGAGGCAAACGGATGAACAGGCAAGTGGGAAAACGAGCTTGCTGATTGGCGGACTCGAGCTGGCCAATAGGAGGGCGAGAGCGAAGGGATGATGAGGTGAGGGCAGGTTCAGAGTGAGCCGGTCGAGGGGACCGAGGCGAAAGTAGCACGAGACCCGGAGGAGGGTGTGCAGGCGGCAAGGCGACTGGCCGTCAGAAGAGATTAGGCCTCTTCTCAACCCGACCTCGCAGTCGGTCCCGTCGAAGGGACGTCAGACGACGGTCGGAACACGGGGTGGTGAAGCTCTCTTTACATTTTTCTCGACTCGCCCGGCCGGTAACAAGGTCTCGACAGGAAGAGGTGGAGATACAATCAATTCATGCGGCTTCAGAGAATCGAATTACAAGTCCGAATTTGCATCCAGTCCGCTGTCGAGGCAGAATATCACGCCAGAATAGGCCTCAAGTCGGCTTAACGACGAAGAGCTGGCAAGAGGGCGTGTGAGATATGGCGATGAGTCGGTTTGCCAGTCTGTCTGTATGTTTGTCTATATATCTATCTATATTTCTATCTATCTATCTATCTATTAATCTATCT